TTTTTTTTTTTTTTTTATCCTTTAAATTTTATTTGTAAAGACTAACAGTATTCACAACCTTTAATGAACAGAATTTTGTAAATAATGTACATTATTATAAATGATGTTATATGAAACTATGCGATTATTTAAATATAAAAAGAAGCAGAAGTTTTGTTAAAACAAAGTGTAAAGTATATTTCTTTAACGGAGTTATTAAGCTGGACAAGCTTATTCTTTTTACTATACGACATATCTTTCTTACTCATGTATACTAATGTATATTATTAAGATTTTTTTTTAATTTATTTTATACTATTGTATAATTTTACTCCAGATAGCATTATGAAATGTTCAAATATAGGGATATAATTCTTGTAATTTATCTGTTACTGTATATTTAAGTACATAAAATTGGGAGCATATATTATTAGAAAGGTGACTTTTATGCTTGATCTTTACATTGCATGTTATACCATTTTACATTTTTTGTAAATTCCTATTTTAAATCAATTTCATTATCATAATATAAAACTTAAAATGATAAACTTGCTTGTACAAGTCTATATAATTTGGCATTTTCGTAAAAATTTTGCGTCTTTTTTTTTTTATTTTTTTTTTCTGAATATAATATACTATACTTTTTTGATATAATTTAATACGCATTAATTATTTAGGACAAATGTTTAAACATACATAAAAATATATCTGCAATATTTAAAAAATGACAAAAATAATTTTTTTTTATTCGAATGGTCACTATTTTTAATTACTTTGATACTTTGAGATTATTATGTTTTTATTGGTTCCAGGTCAGATGGCGTTTGTATGTTGTTGTGAAGAAAAAGGAATTCCCTTATCTTTGTATTTTTTTTCATAAAAAGATAAGACCATTTTGTTATCATAATAAAAATAAATGTGTTACACTGTTTTATTTGTTTACGAATCAAGAAGGGATGTATTTTTAATGATAATTTAACTTGTAATTTAAACATAACAAGCGTAAACGAATGCAGGAACTTTTTTTAAATTGCATTTAATTGAAATATTTAAGTGGACATGAATAAATACTTTATTCATTTTGAATCATATTTTAATTAACATAAATTAATTTTTTTTTTAAGTGGCATGCATTTTTGAGCAATATTATTTTTAGATTTCTTCTTCCTAGTATATACATCATTAGATAACTGAAACAAATTGTAACATTTTTTGGCAACATATGGCTAATCCATTTATTCATTGTATTACATGAACGTTGAATTAAATAAATATAAAATAGTTGTTATCACAAAAAACTACTATTAGAAATTTATTGTTATTTTAAAAAAGCACAATCTCAAAATTGTATGCATGATATAAAATTATGAAATTGAATTATAAAATACGTTTACGAAAATGATTAAGAAAGTAAATAATTAATTGAGAAGATCGGATATAGAATAATTAGTGCATACAACAACATATACATCATGTAGAATAAAACTATTAATTAAATAATATCAAAAATGTAACAACTTAAAATTATTTTTCATAAAAAAAAAAAAATAAAAATATATTTCGACAAATTTAAAAATAAATAATTTTATTAAATAAATATTACTTTTATGGGAAAAGTTTTTTATTCCTGTATTCAATAACACGATCTTATACAAAATGAAGTCTACCTTTTTTTTTTTCGAAAAATTCAAGTTACAAAATCTCGATTTTATAGTTACTGTTTAATTTCTTTTGAATTAAGTTTATACTACATATAATAAATTGTTCAGTATTTTATGTTTACAATTATAGTTTTAGTTAATAACTATAACAGTTACTGTTACTATTGTTTTTATTCCAATAAAAAAAAATTCGAAAAGTTCACTTGTTACAAAATTAACAGATGACTTTACAGATAGATCAGAATTAAATTTTGCAACATTTTCTTTCCTTATTTGAAAAAGGAACGATTATATAGATATATTTTTATTGTACAAAAACTGAATATGGAGGAATATATGTATACAGAAAATTATACGCCAGCAGACAATATGTTTGAATTAGAAGATAAAAATAAGGAAAAGAAATTATCACATGCTAAGAGGAACAATTTCTCATGTGTTTTATCCACCGTTCTTGCTTTTTTGACATCCTCTTCTATTCTTTTGAAAAATTGTCCATTAGTAAGCCTAAAAAACATTAAAGATAAATAAGTATATATATATATATATTGTTTTAATTTAACCTTTACTATTTAAATTAAAATATTAAATATATTATTGTTTATAAACTCATATAGTCTAATTATGTAGAAAAGGACAGTGCTGTGAATCATCCGGTTCATTTGGTAGGAATCGATAAAGGAGCGCTAGATATAGAAGAAGAATGGAAACAGTACACTTGGCATAATTGGATGATAAGACTGGAGAATGATTTTAATGAATTCAATTCTTCGTTGAATAAAGAAAAAATGAATTGGCTTAATGATAGAGAGGGGGAATTTCAATATTGGATAAAAGAAATGGAAAGTAAATGGAGTCATAATGAAAAAAATATGGATATTTCAGAGAATATAGCTGGTGCACAGGAACAATCATCAACACAGAATTATTATGAATGGAAAAATTTAGATAAAACAAAAAAAATCCAAAATATAGAAATTGAATGGGAAAATTGGATTAATAAGCATGATTCCAATTTAAATGAATGGATTTTAAAAGAATGGATTTTTTGGAAAAATTCAAAAATCATGTTATGGTTATTAAATGAATGGAAAAGTGAAGAAGATGATTATTGGGCAATATGGGAAAACAAAAAATTAGCCAAATGGTTGCATCCAACAGAGAAAACAAAATGGCTCAAGTGGAAAGAAAGAAAAAATAGAGAGTCTACAGAATGGATGAATTGGCTTCATATTAAGGAACGTGTCTACATAAGTAAGGAATGGGATAAATGGGAAGAGTGGAAAACAAACAAAAGAATTTTCTTTAATAAATGGAAAGATTCTCTTTTTGACAAATCAATTGCTGAAAAAGAACATATTGCTTGAATATTAAAGATATAATTTCCATAGTTTAATAGCTTTTTTCATTTTTTCGAATATGATATATAATGTAAAATAATTTATAAAATTGATTTATATATGGAAGAAAGCATAATTGCAATATACATAAACCATGTGTTATAGAAAAAATAATAGTAAACTAGGTAACAAGTAAACAGAAATATGTAACTTTGAAAATGTGCCATTTTTTAAGGTAAATGGCATTATTTCCACTTTCACCTTCCAAGAACAGGAAAAAAAAAAAAAAAACAGCATATGTAAATGTAGTAATATTATTATAACCCGAATGTGTAAGAACATTTTATGCATGTTCGTTACATTTCTATAACTATGTACCGTTATATCTTCGAGTCATTTGGCACGATTTTATTTCTTTCTTTTTTTTTTTTTTAATTTTTTATATCATTCATGTGATTTAAGCAATGGTGAATATGATTTAAGTAATATTTAATGCGTTTTCAACAATATAATTTTTGATTCAAAATTTTTTAATATTCATATAATTATGGTCATATATAATTATGTGCCTTGTCTAATACTTTTTCTCTTCATTATAAATAAACACATGTGCATTAAATTCGTATTTTATTTTGTGCAATTGTCGTTAGTAACTTTTAAGCCTTTGCACGTGTATAATTATTTGCAAAGAGAGCCAAACTACAGAACTATATAATTTAAAATAATTATTTTTGCATCTATTCATTAGATATATTTTTTTATTAACTCAAATAGTATATAAAATATATCATCATTTGATTGCAAAGCTTGTTTTAAAAAAGGCATTAAAAACAACGTTCCTTTAAAAGATTAGGATATTCTTTTCATATGCTTAATTGGATTCATATGTTATGCTTAATGGATAAAATTAGCCCGAGTGGTTTCGATTTTTCATTTGAGGACACAGGCATAATTAATACTATTATTTGATCACTTTTTTGCAAAATATTTATTAATGGTTGAATGTACATATTTTAGTCATTTTCGGGTATAAATAGAAAGACATGCGCAAAAGTATTTTCATAATTCATATCAGTTTGTAATAAATATTGAAAATTTTCTCTATAGTACGAAAAGTTCAATGAATTTATTACTTTTTTTTTATGTAAATATATCTTTATAAGGTGTTTTAATTTTATTATTATTATTTTTTCGTACACATCCAACTTTGAGATGTATTTAAGTAACTCACGTGTAAACTGCATTTTGTAAATTTATATTCTTTTAGCACTCTTTTAAAATATAAAAATAGCAAACTTTTCATTCGTCCTTTATAAAGATTGATATTACTTATTTAAATCATTCAAAAGGGATATTTTTAATTCCAATTTTAAGCATAAAATGATGAAACCTTTCTTTACATATATCATGTTCGCACTCGTTGTGCACCATACTTGCAAAAAATTTGTTAGGGGTCATTGCTTTATTCAGCTATTATATCTGTGAATATATATATGAATATGTGTACATAAATATATATCACTATTAGACTTATATATAAGTAATGCTGTTTGTTTTTCTGCAAAATAGACAAGCAAAATAGCTTTAATAATCAATAATAAGAAAAGTTCATCATTAAAAATAAGTTTGACTCTTTGAAAAGTTACTGTTATCAATTTTTATATAAATGAATAAAAATAAAAAATCAAATTAAAATTTTTTTTTGCATTACTTAGAAAAATTAAACCAATAAACTAATAACATATAGCCACACTAAGCTTTTGAAGCTATAATGAATGCGTAGTGTCCTTTTTTTTTTTTTTTTTTTATACTTTCCGCTTTTCTGTGAAGAGAAGAAAAAAAAAAAATTAACAATTCCACTAAAATAATTTTTAAAAAATGATACTATATCTTTAAATTGGAAACAATATATTTTTTAAAAAATATGGAATACAACCTTTGTAATTAAATTTTTTCGAAGAAATGTATATTCTCTTCAATTAAAATTTATTTGTAAAAGTAAATCGAAGAAAGAAATGTCTTAAAGAAGTACGCTAAAAGGCATTTTGAAAAAAGTGGAATAAACAGTAGCTAATAAACTATGATTTTTTTGAAAAAAAAAAAAAGAAAA